ATATATATATATAAATGGGGCTCCCAAGAACTTTGACACCAAGAGGATTGGATGCCTAAACCTCTCATCAAGGCACATGGCTCCTTACCATGCCGCCACTTTAAGTGACTTGATTACACTCTCATTTATATCCATATAAGCTTATTTGGGTCTCTTTTTTTTTAATTGTACACGACTCAAGGAGTTACTTGGACTCGGTCGGGTAACTCGCCTTGGCCAAGGTCCGAGTACCTTGGCCAAGTTGTGTTAAAAAACACTGGTTGTTATCGAACTGGGAGTCCAAATGCTTCTCTTGCTCATTTACTTTTCTGCAAGTTTGTTTGAAATTCCTTGAAGAGTTCTTGTGATAGAATTATGAAGTCATTTGTGGATTATATGATGATTAATAAAACTAGATTCTATTTGTTTGATAGCAACATTAATATATCTCTTATGATAAACTGATGGTACATACTTCTTATAATAATGCTGTCAGAACTCTTAGGTATTTGAGATTGGGCGTTAAATATTTGTGTGTTGTTACAGGGACAGTTTCAAAACACAGGCTTGAACATACAGTAAGCTTTTCTTCCTCTTCCTTTTCTACCATTGTGTTGCCAGTTTTGGCCTTGTCTGGTTCTTTAACCACTTGTATTGTTTGATTTGCATTCATCATCATATGGATGTCTTGATTCTGGAATTGACATTCCATGAAGCATCATATTGTAGAAAAACTCTCTCTCTTTGTCTCTCTCTCTCTACCACAATGCTGTGTCACCTAAGCAAGCATGACCTCTTGCTTAACGGTTGTATCCCTTCGTATTCTATACTCTGCAAATAAGTTGATGTTAGGTTTTAAATTGGCTATCTCGGAGGGTGCATATATAAATACTTCTAGACCTATGAATTTCCATGCTTTGTACCCTTTCAGCCCATGTTAGAATCTGTGTGCCCCCCCCCGCCAAATTATTAAAAATGGGAAACTAATATTTTCTATAATATTTCTCAAAAAAAAAAACATTTTCTATAATTTCATAAGAACTTTTGTCTTTAAGCATTTGAATTTACATGGTTGTGTTCTACAGAAGAAGTCTTTTATCTTTTTATTTAATAATCTGGAATATGAGAAAGGGGAATGCAGATAAGAATTCAGTTTACCTATTGATGCTTGCTGCTTAGCTTGCTATATAATGACATATGTGGTAGACTTTCTGTGTTCCTCACTAATAGAAGCTCATTATTGCAGTTAAAGAAGATGTGCAAGGAAGGGGCTCTATGGGGTAAGTCATATTTATACTTCATTGATCTAGAAAACAGTAATCAACTCTAAGATGAAAAGTGAACTTTGGTGAGTCACAGTCACAAAATGTGGCTATTGTTCCAATGAATTTATTATCTATAATACATTTGTAATTTGTAACATTGTGGGTGGCAGGTCCCCACTCCCTCTTTTTTCTCTGTTTTTCCCTTTTCTGCTCCTATTCTTGTTTGTACATGGGCTCCCCCACATGGACTGCATCAAACTCGTGCCTCGTGATTTTTGTACCTTTGATATCTCAAAAAAAAAAGAATATTTGAGAAAAAGTCTAATTCAAGAATTCTAAGAGAGATTAAAAAGTGACAACAAAAATCATAAGCATAAATGCATATACTAAAATAAATGATGCATGGTTAACATTATGTTTCATTTTTGGATATGTAATTACGGTGCATAAAGTTGTTGTAAGTCTATTGTACAAATAAGAATTTCTGGTATTGAGTGATGTGCAACGTACATTTTTATTTCCACTCTCAATAGACAAACTATTCTATGATGCCATATTGATCTAATGACAATTTTAAAGTAGTAGAATTGTCTTTGCTAATGGACAGTAGATGCATGAACTGAATTAAGCTAGTGTTTTTAAAGCCTAACACAGACATAGCTCGGGCCGAGCCAGCTCGGTAAGTCTTGAGTTAACTCAGTGAGTGGCCCAAAAAAAATGGCTGAATTTTCTGCAAAAAAATGTGAAATATGAGCAAATAAAAAATATAAAAATGTTATGTAATTGAAGAAAATTAGTATACTTCTAGATTTGAGATTTTTAACTGTTAGTGGGAGGTACTTGTTCAACATTCCAAATTGATGAGTGTCATTAGAGCACTTAAAATTGCAAATATTCCTGCCAAACGAGTCAAGCTATAGCCGACTTGAATGACAAGTGGGCTTACAGTCATCCCGATCGTTGTCATCCGACTATCTCCCTAAGGTTTAGAAATGACTCTGTCGATTGGGTAGCTGCGGTTGTCCATCCAAACACACAGTTTCCAATGTTAGTCCAGCCGTTATATTTCTCCCACCCTGCTGTTCGTGCTCACTCTCCAGGCCCCTTGTGTCACCATCTTCTAGTTCAGTGGCCTCATCATCGTCTCCTCCTTCTTCTCCAATCTCCTTAACTTGTGCTCCTGGCTCAACTTGTGCACCTCCTCCATGTTATGCCTCTTCAGTCCCACCTTTCTCTCTTTCCTCTTTGATTGGGCCCAACTCTTCTTTCTGTAGCCTCTTATTAAGAAGTGACTCCTCTACTCCTACCAACCACTCCTGAACTAGATCCTCGAGAAATATGTAATCCAAGTTCACAGAGTTGTAATCTTTAGCTTCCTTCGTTAGGTGTCCCGCTGTGTAGACTAGCTTGTGTAGCCTTGGTGCAGTTCTTCTTGACATGTGCATCCACTGAAATGTACTCCAATTTTACTCACCTCTTGCAGCAGATCTGGTTCAGCTGAGCAATCATAATCCCTATAAGTGGGAGCTCCATTTTCATGTAGTTTGCACCACTTCTTTGAAGAAGAAGAACTCATAAGACAGGTCTCAAATAACAAGAAAAGAATGTCTAGTGTCATAGGGATTTGAGAGCTAATCATGATCCAGCTCAATGTGTGATTTCTTAGCATGGTTACATGTTTACCTTGCACATCCATATACAAAAGAAAGTAGATGAATTAATTAATTTTAGTGTTTTGTATAAATGTGACTTACATAACTTATTAATGCCCTAAGTAGCCACATAACTTTTAAATGCCCTTCGTTGGAAAACTTCTATGAAACTTGTCAGGCTAAGTTCATTGTCCATAGGCATAGAAGGATGCCAGCTTGAAGAAAAAACCGATATAGCACATGCATTTATGATAAGATGTAATGGTTATTTTCATGAACACTCATAATCAGAAACTTGTCAGGCTAAGAGGCTAAGTTCATTGTCCATAGGCATAGAAGGATGCCAGCTTCAATAAAAAACTGATATAGTACATGCATTTATGATAAGATATAATGGTTAGTTGCATGAACACTCATAATCATAAACCATAATAAAAATCCAAAATCTAAGTTGCTATATCTTTTAGATGTTTAAATATTAAAACCATGACCTGCTATGTGCATTAGTTGGTGCAACAAGTTACTCTATCCATCAAATTTTGGGTCGGATTTGTGTTGACGTACATGCGGCTTTGACGGCATGCCTTTTTTGATTGATGCTTCAAACAAAAAAAGCTATAAATAGGTTTCATGTAAGAGTCTACCATCTTCAACTCTGCCACTAGAGTACCTATAACTTCTACAATCTGCCGCATCTATTCCAGAACCTATTACTATTCATTATCTCTTCAAGTTTCCATGCAGCCTAGGTGCTTGAGATATGGGCATTTACCCATTGCAGTGAGGCAACAATCTTTTTTAGCCCTAATTACGAGATCAATATCAAATTGATGTAGAAAAACGATATAGCAAATTTTATGATGGTTGGCCTAACCAACAACTGTGAATTGCCTTATCAAATTAAGAACCCACAAGTGGGTTGTATATGAATTTGGTGATAGCCTTCCCCACTGCAATATACTCTTTTACCTGCTTGAGTTTCCCAATTTCTTCGACCGTTAACTCAATGAATTGGTTTGTATTGGGAGTCGATAGCTATGTGTTTCCTCTTCCTCATCAGCCTCTTTTCTACATTGACATAGTTCTTGGCATTGTTAATTATTACCTGTGCTACGTTTTGCTCACTAATTACCCTCGCCACATCCTTAAGATGCCTCTACAATATTTTCCCACTCTTCAGCGTTCCTGAGTCGTCGACTCTGCTATGAAAGACTGTCCCTCATGGGCAATATACCAAAAGTTACAAATTGGTATCGCATGATGTCACCCCAGCCATAACATGATGGCACTCCTGTTTCTGCTTAAGAGCTTTTTGACCTCCACCATCTCGTAATCTAAGCAAAGCCCACTAGTTTAGTAGCAGGGAGGGGCTTGATTCCAAGTCTTTCATTAGCTACATGAACATCATGTCCTCATAGTATTGACTCATTGGCGGGTACATTAAAGGGGACGACAACTTCATAAAACAAATTTGGGATTGCCTTCATCACCCACTTCCTTACTGTGTAAAGCTGTTGTTGATGGTCATCTGGTTTGATGGAAGCTTCTAAAGGAATGGGTCAATATGATCCTAGGTAGGCTCCAGGTGTTTCATGGAGTGAGTAATCTGAGGAGGTTGTCTAGCCTATGCTCCTCATCTCTCAGTCCTCTTCATGAAGCTTTTAACTGACCAAACCAGATGTGTAGCCCGTGATGTCATCAGCAATGTGGCTTGATGAGGTCCTTGAAAACTTCCCCCAACTGCTTTTGTGAGGTCAAAAGGATCTTACCCCTCTGTACCTCCCCATACCAAACTTTTGGCAGTACATCTCCTCTCAACTTGTCCTCATCTCAATTCTCAAGTTGAGTTGTGCCTCAAACTCAGCACCCTTCCCCCCTCTAGGGGCATAGTATTCGTTGTCGATCTCCCTGGTTATCTTCTTTTTGATGCCTAATTCTTCTTTATTGCTTAATAACTGCAGTTTTTTTTTCCCTACTTTCTCTGATACCTTATCACAAGGCACAACATCACTCCTTGCAAGGTATTGTTTTAGACAGCTGATACTACCACTCATCTCCTTTCCACGAAACACACATCTAACCTTATCCATCCTGTCAGGAAGTACCCTAACCTAACCCCATATTCACAAGTAGGATCCTCTTTTAACTGTGACGTAGTAACATACTTTTAGTTGGAAGGTGCCCCAACTAGCAACTAGGAAACGTCTTGTGAACTAAACCTACAGATTCACACACATATAAAGCATTTTAATGCCCAAAATATTGTTCATTCTCAATTTGTTGATTGAAAGTAGGGATTTCAATGGGCTGGGCTAGCCTTGGCCCTAGCCTAGCTCTAGTCTCTACAAGACTGGCCCTAGCCTGGCTCGACCCTGATCAGGCCAGAGAGGTCCTGGCCCGGTCCTAGCTTGGTCCTAGCCCTCTCAGGGCCGTGCCGGGCCAAATATAACCCAAGAAAAAAAAAGGGACAAGGAACAAGGAAAAAGGTCGGGCCCTATTGTGGCCCTGGCCCAGGTCCGTCCCAGCCCTTCCCTCGGGCCATGATGTCCTGGTCCTAGCCCGGCCCTCGGGCCACATTTTGTGGTCCAAACCCTTCTTTTTTAGGGCTGGGCCACGAAGCCCATTGCCACCCTTAATTGAAGTAGTTGATTACACCCAAACTAAATGCATTTGGGTGGGACTCACTTACCTAAAAGCATCAAACACCCAAATATGTGTAAAAAAGGGCGAAATATGCTAGAGCGAATTTAATGCTTAAAAATTGGGCAATGTCAATTTTGTGAGGAAAAGTTGTTGATTACTCCTAAATGGAATGAGTTCAAGTGGCAATTCGTGTCTCTAAAAGCATGAAAACCCAAAGATGTAAAAGAAAAATATTGATAACAGTAATAAGAGCATTTCAAGGCACCAAATTTAGAAAAAGAAATGGTTTTTCCCAAACTGAATGTGTCTGAGTGGGAATTCACATCCCTAAAAGCATCAAACACCTAAAGACCTGCAAAAGAAAAAAAAATTCTAGAAAGAATTTTTTTGGAAAAATAAGAGGTAAAATAGAATATTGAATAAAGTTGGGGAAAAACTGAAAAATCGAGAAAAGTGAAATTATGAATATTTCTTAATTATTCGAGAATAAGTTGGAGAAAACAAAGTATGATACAAGAAGAATAAAATTACAAGCATATTCCATGCTAAAATAGGAAATTTTCTTGTTTCTAAGGGCATCTATATAACATACAAAAACATAATGCAAATTCAAAGAAAAAATACCTGTACTAGTTGTTGGCTGGTAAGTGATGACTAAATCTTGCTACAATGAGGCCTAGTTCAGTGTAATTCTTGAGTATTTTGAAGAAGTCTAACCAGATCTATAGTTTTATTCTGAAAATGTACTTTTAGGGAAAACAATGCTAACTATAGACAGTATAAAAACAATTTACAATCAAGGATCGACCCTTAAATCCTGCAAATTCAAACCCCCAAACGGATTTTTGGGGTTAGGCTTCTGATTGACAATTTGAGATTTTCCAAAGCTTTTCAATCTTGAAAATTTGGATTTTAAATTCTCTAAAATCCATGAATTTTGGTTGATCATTTGCAAATCTTGTTTAATGATATGATAGAGGGCTTAAAGACGGACGTAGATTAAAAAATTTGGGGGCTCAATACCCTGTATGGGCTGAAATGAGCCAACAGCCTAGTCTCTGCTTTTTTTCCACAAAAAGCGAAAAATAAAAAGATTTGTCAGACTGGCCCACTCGGTCAGGACTCGTGTACTCCCCAGTACCGAAGCTAGAAATGGCCGGGTCCATTTAAGAACCCGAGTTGTTCTGTACTTTGGTCCTGTGACTAGTGACTTGAGGCCCTTTTGACTCCGTCAGAGACTAGGTCTGAGTGACTTGGGGATTTGGTGTCCAAGGCACTGAATTCTGTGACACTGACGATTTCTTTGTTAGAATATGAAATTCTCTACTTAAAGGTTGTAAAGGTTGTCAGCAAGGAAGTGAATGGAGGGTGTAGGTATTATACCTTTTTTGCCCAAAGAAAAGCCACATGAATGGTACATTAGACGACTAAAATAGTAGTTTCCTTCTTCTCCAAACTGCAATGTAATTGAAGTTGGTGGCTTATTTTGAAATGGGCACACAGGGACTGTTGCTGGATTGTATGTGGGAATGGAGTATGGAATTGAAAGAGTTCGTGGCACACGAGATTGGGTAATCTACTCAGACTCCTGTAAATCTGTTTGCTTGTATACGTATTAATATTACACTAGTATCTCCATCGAATTAGCTGGTTATTTTGTGGGATTTGAATCTATGATTTGGAACTGTTTGCTATATGACTAATGATTGTGATGTGAACTTCTAGTGTATTAGTATTAATAGCATGTTTCTGTTATCTATACTTGTGTTTATGTCTATGAATGCATGCATGCACGTGCGTGGTTTCGTGCATTTGTGTTACAGCTTATTGTTAATTGACATATAGCAGAAAAGATTCAAATAGTTTGTATTTATTTTTAATTGTTACAGGTTCAAATTCCCTACCCATTGAAGTCCATCCATGTCAATTATCACTGAATGCTTTAGTTTTGAATTTCTAAGTTTTCAATCCATAATGTTCCATTTCCTTTCCCTGATTTGTTACTTCATTCTTCCTTTCATCTAGCAAGTTTTGGCATATGACTGCAACATCAGCATCGATTTAATGAACAAAACTTCTCAAAGTTTAGAAAATGCTCGAGAACGGTGAACTATTAATAATTCTAGTACTATCCCATCAAAACCAGTTATATCCATCCATTGGGTTGATTGTAGGCAAGAATATTTCAAGTTTTCATCATCATCATCATTTGAGTATTTTCTCGACTATTTGTGGTCAGCTACATTCATCCTATGGGTATCTTGTTTCTTGACCACCCAACATTCCGTGCCATAAAGCAAAGCTGGTATATGTCAAGTTTTCAAATATATTAAAAAGTGTTGTTTCCAAACATACAAGTGTTGTCTATTTTATATATCTGAAGGATACTTGATGCATTTGAAAAAGGAATTGTATACTGTGACACCATTCACTTTTGGTATAATGTCACATTCACTCTGAGCCATTGGATGTGAAATCCAAGATATCGAAGTGTGTCATAACATTCGTTAAATTTTATCTTGGACTTTATGCTCAATCAATGACATATCTCCAACTACCTGATTTCACATGTAACGGTCAATAATGATTGTGACATCCTTATATTGAAAGAAAATGGTTTCATTGTATATATTTGCTTCGGAAATATTTGCATTATAATTTATATGTATACGCTTACCTAATATCTTGTGATGACTGACATTGTGAAGTTAAAAGTCATAAGTATATCTGGGAGAACTTTATTTCTGACTCGAGAAGAAAAATAAATAAAACAATAATCTTGAAGAAATGTAAGCTTGATACTTGTAAACCAGTGGCAGCATTACTTGAGGAAAAACACGCCTTATCAAAGGATAGCTTTTCAAAGACAGAGAAAGACTAGGAAATTATCATGAAACAGACCAGATGCCCAAACGGCTAGTGAAAAGGATCATTAGCCTATTTGATGAACTGTGAGCAGCCTGCAAATTTTGCAGTGAGTTTGCAATCATATAGACCAGTAATTTGGGCCATTATTAATTGAAAACAACAACATATTTATCTAAAAGGAAAAATGGATGTGGAATATTAGTTCTCTTGTTGGGAGCAAGTGGCAGTGGATTACAAAAAGAAAAGTAGTACTGGATCTGAATTATGTTATGGTCAGGGTCAATTAATGCTAAAGGGATATAACAATGCTGATGGAGAGGTGATCATTTTGATCTGAGATGCATTTCAAAACGGTTGCTGCTGTCATGGGGCTTTATTCTTCCCCTAGCCTGACTCTACAACCTTGGCTCCTGAATCCTACTCTTAAGAGGCAAAGTTCATCCTTTTTCATGCACAAACACACACACAAGCAAGCCGCAACCAATAGGGACAAGGGACGTGTACTATTTTATTTCACTATAAACTTATAAAGTATACTGCGCTAGATGCCCCTCAAGGGTCTGGGTCTGGGGTTTATATAGACCTTGGGTCGGTGACATGTTTTTAAATTTGTGGGACACCTGACAGCCAACCTTTACTCTTACATGCCCGCGTAGTGCACCATTACACCCATTTATGGTTGTGGTGGTTGGAAAACCCACTCTCTTAGTCCACTCGTGGCATCTGGCCGTTACGTTTTTTGAAATTGAATTTGACTGTTAAAGTCAATCCTCCTGCCCAGCCCAGGCACGTTTGATCCTAGATGAAGTCCACTTTCTCTGACTTGCATGCTGCTCCATACCTCACCTTCCACCTAGGATTGGTTAAAAGACTGGAGGTATTCTTCCCCATATGGTTTTGTTGGTTTGAAAAACTTTTCCTCCAAAATAGGTAGCTAAATTGCCAAACTTAGCATTATTTCATATAGGATTTGCAGGTCATTTCCAATTCGTTCTATTGCAAGTGGGATTCCACACACCACGCTAATCATGCAGTACGACATTGAAAAAGTGGTCTCACAGATGCTTATTATGGGTGGAGAAAGAATATTTTCTTAATTTAAGAAATAAAATTGTATATCAATCGACAGCTGAAATCAAAATATGTTGGCCTATGTGAGTGAAATACCAAATCTCTTTGAGATGGTTGATAAATGGAATTCTGTTGGCAAACATATTTCTACAAATTTTTCTTTGAGGATAACTAAGCAGTTATTGCAATTATAGAAAACCTGAAGTTCCTGCAGTAAGATGTCTTTAATTCTGTTGGTAATTGATGTGCAAAACATGCTGCATCTATGGTATGCATTGTTTTATCAGACCACTTCTGTCAGTGATCTATATTGGATTTTTAGATTTATCTGCCCTGTAAGATTTAAAATATTGCCAATGATGATTTGAAAGAGTCATATATTGTCTTGGAGTTCAAACAATAAAATATGAAAAATAAAAGGAAAATAGTCTCTGGGGAATGTATATATTGTCTTGGAGTTCAAACAATAAAATATAAAAAATAAAAGGAAAATAGTCTCTGGGGAATGTATCTACAATATTTGCTCAAACTATGATGGTTAGGTTTCAACTAACATACCACCCAAAAAAAAACGAAAATCATCAGTTGATGTTATTGAGGTGAACCTATTAACCTCTTAGAGTCATCAACACCTGGATGTATGAAAAACAAGGACTACTTTCTCTCCATCACCATGCATCATCTCAATGGACAATCATGATGCAGTGGATTGATTTACTATAGTTATCAAAATGTGGTATACTCGTCCACGTTGATTTACCTTGTCATTGCAGTTGTTCTGTGATGCAAATCAAGAATGGATTGATTCAAAAATTTATTTTTAGTTTATTATTTTTTATTTTTAGAGATGTGGGTAGATTTTTGGGTTAGTTTTTAGGAATTTTATTTATTTTAGGGGTTAAATCTATTTCTAGGTTTTTAAGTTTTTTTAAGGGATTCTAGAATTTTTTTTTATATTTTTTTAGTATTCATGGGTAGTGTTCACAAGTATTGTTCATGGGTATTGTTCACGGTTACTGTTCATAGGGGTATCTATGAAATTTTAGTATTGTTCAGCGGTATTTTAAAGCCGTAAATGTTTACTTGGATCTCAAGTTAATTTTAGAATTTCCTAAGCTAATAAAAAGTTGGATGTCAAATTTTGGGAGGCTTATGTCATTTTGGAATGAAATTTATTTTGTGAAAGAAGAAAGCTCTTTTTCTCTTTGCTTGATTTACAACCATGTTTTTTTTTCCATTATTACTAATTTTACTTATTAGGGTTCACGAAAGGGTGGATTTAAATTCCCACGTGTCCTTCCTACATCAAGTGGTATGAGAGCATCGTTCAAAGACAGCTCGAGATAGTGATGGCTGGTTGTGGAGGGTTTAGCTATAGGGATGTCAATCTGACCCAATTGCGCAAAGAAATCAATAACTTGATGGTAAAATTTACACAATTGTTGGGCAAATGTGAACAACAATAACATTCCCTAAACAAAGAGGAATCTACGGGGATAGATCTAAATCATGAGGGCTTTTATGGAGAATGGCGTGATGGCAGTTGTGAGTCGGAAGTTGTTTTTGAGAACCTGTTCTATGTGTATGCTCCGTGCTGGGAGCCTCATGTTTGGGAGAGTAGATCGTATGATTGCAACATTGAACTTGACCTACCTAAGTTTGATGAAGAACCAGTTGAAGGGGAAGAACGAAGTAGGTTTGGATCTTCAATTGGAATCTTCATTCTTTGATGTCATGGGTAACCTTTTTTTTATAAAGGTCCTATATTTGATGAAGAACAAGATGGAATGAAAGAAGTTGGGCTTGAGGCAGTAAATATATCTAACTCTCTCATCAATGGAGAGATGAAGTAGCAAGATGTTGAACCAAACCCAAGGGAGATCAAGCCTATGGAGATTCTAGAGGAAGAAAGAAATAAGGTGATAAAGGAGGCACAAAGCAAGGAGGCTAGAAATACAAAATATAAGAATTTTGAACATATGATCAAGAATTACAAAAAATGCATGGACACTGATGATGAAGGCGCATTGTATTTCACTGATAAAACGATTGATGATGAACCCATATCCTATCGAGTGGTTGTGTACCTAGAGACGAAAAAGTTTGAATATTGTTCCAAGGATCGTGACAAGGCCTTCAATGTTGAAGAGCATGGGTTTGGCGCAAAATTTATCCTAGCTCGTTGTAAAGCTCGAGGGTAAGTTTTCTCCAACTAAAGGAGAATGATACAGTTCAAGAATGGGTGATTAAAAAAAAAATATTATTTTCATTTTATTGGTTGATTGTTATTATTATTATTTTTCATTTTTAAAGATGTGGGTTGATTTTTGGATTAGTTTTTAAGATAAATTATTTATTTTAGGGGTTACGTCTATTTCATTTTAAGTTTTTGAAGGGATTCTAGATTTTTTTATATTTTATTTACTATTCATAGGTAGTGTTCATCAGTGTTGTGCATAGGTATTGCTCGTGGTTACTGTTCACACATTACTGTTCATAAGGGTATATTTGAAATTTTAGTATTGTTTAGGGGTATTTTAGAGTCTTAAATGTTTACTTGGATCTCAAGTTGATTGTAGGGTTTCCTAACCTTATAAAAAGTTAGATGTCAAATTTTGGGAGGCTTATGTTATTTGGAATGAATTTTATTTTATGAAAGAAGAAAGCTCTCTTCTCATGCCTTGATTTATAAACATGTTTTTTCTCCATTGTTGCTGATTTTACTTGTTCGGGCTCAAAAAAAAGGTGAATTTAATTTCTCACCTTTCCTTCTTGTATCTTGCACTTGGCAAGTATGCCAAGTTTGATGTTCTCTTTTTTACTGCTTCAATCCTCTACATGTAAAGGTTTTCTTTTTTGAATATTTATTTTTGTTGTATGCAGCAAGTTCTTTGTAATTGCATATGCAAATCCAATTGCGGAGGATCATAAGAGAACATGAGGTTGTTTATTGTATATAGTTTGCAATCTTGATAACTTGGAAGTAAGAAGCGGCGTATGGTGGCAAGATTGTTGTCGTAGCCGTGACAACATTCAAGATGATATGGTAGAGATTGTAATGACATGGGAAGCCTACGAGGCAGTGTTGGATATATATTCTGGTTTTCATGAACTTAGCTAGGAAATCATTGTATTTTCTTTTATTTTAGCCAAGATCAGATGATTAATTGTCTAATATGCATATAGATGTCTTAAGAAGATGAGTTGGAAGAACATAATATCTCTAGCTTTGCATGATAGGTATCTACACTCTAGTATGCAGGATTGTCAACATTTACTGAGCATAAGCTGATTGGTGACATAGAGACCGTCTTGTATCTAGGCTTTATTTCGTACGAGGATGACGTATTTTTATTTATATATCACATTTTTGCATAAGAATGTGTCTCCACTTCCGTCATATATTACTTATTTTCTTGTGGCTTTTTACAGAAGAATGCTATGATTGGGGGTGCAATGACTGGTGCTCTGATATCAGCAGCGAGCAATAATAACAGGGACAGGATAATGGTGGACGCGATTACTGGGGGTGCTGTTGCTACTGCTGCTGTTTTTATTAACTACATTACATGAGAGTGAGACTTTTCCATTGTATGGGGTATCCATTGCCTTCAGAAATTAGTAGAATGTTAACTCGTTGATTATAGGGTAAATCATATGCATGATCGGTATGCTGCCTTTTATATATTCATGTGTGAAAATGAAGAGCTAATTGGTCTCTATCATCCATCCTAATATTGGATGGCGGATGCAATGCATGTGTATATATCATGTATCCTGTAGCTTCCTATGTCATGATAAAAACTTTCAAGTTGTGTCTGGCAATTTCGAAACTGGAAAAGGGTTTTGTGCCCCTGTGGAAACAAAGTTCTCACTTGCTTCTATGGGCGAAATACTGAGTTGGTTTTGTTTGGTTGCAAAGCATTCCAAAAATCTTTATTCGCATGTAAGATCAATCTTCGATTAAGGAAAACATTCGATCACGGTGAAGTTCCAGTCTTCGTCGATTTGCAACTTGTGATCTTTTTGAAGTCTCAGCATTAAACTCTATTTGAAACTTAAAGTACATTCTCACACAGAAATGTGGGTTATGTGCTTAAGATATGCACTCTAATCTTGTTTGAAAATAGCTCTAAGGGGGTTCTATAATTCGAGTTGTATACAATGAGGCCATTTACCTTGGCTACAAAGGTGTCACAATTACTTCTAAACATCTAATGTGAAATCTAGTAGTTTGGGTATGTTACAGAGTTCAAGAAATTTTTTTTTTGAGTCTTGTTAATAGAATAGATGCTACCATTTAATTATACATCTAATGGTTAAGATTAATTGTGATCACTTCGTACTAACAGTGAATGAACTTATTATATATGTTTCCTTTATAATTAGCAACTTAAGAGGAGTTTATTCGTTTTGACCGTAGTTCAAAAACGAAAGCAATTTTGTCGTGCATTTATCTCAAGCAGTAAAGGAGTACCTACGGTAGTCAAATGAAAATTCCTTAATTGGCTTTCAAGGTCCCATGAAACCTATAATACATGGTCAATTGATATCTGCAAATGATTGCCAACTTTGTAGTGACAACCCTTTGATGGCAGACGGACAACAACTAGGCCATCAAGTTATCATGACCATATAGATCATGATATAAAGGACCAGTTGTTCACATGATTTTAAAAGGATAACAACCACATTACATCGAACAAATCCTCACTCAACAATGGAAAATGTTTTTATAGGGCTGCTGTTTTGTCAAAATAAGTAAAGCCTTGTCTCAAAACTCATAAGAAATTATAGTTCTAGCATCAAAAAACCTTCAAACTGATTATCTCGACCTTGACCACTATGATTTTTTTTTTTTTTCTTTTTTTAAAGATTTCAAGCCTTGACAATATTGTATATTATAACATACTATCTAGACCGTCCATTTTATCCAAAAAATAAGTGTTTATGGATCCACAAGATCTGTATCATTTTTTGAGCTTCAAATTACTTAGTCGGTGTTGGAAATTGATTTTAGACCCATCATGGAGATTTTTGATGCTCAAAGTGCTTTTCAGACAAGGATTTGAGGTGAGGCTTTACTTTGTTTTCGTAAAGCCTAGGCCTTGCAAAAACTTCATCATTGTATTTATTCCCTAAAACTAGTGTTTTGAAACCGGAACTGGCCGGTTTGTCTACCGGTTAATGGGCCAATTTTGATTAGTGATCCGCCCGGTTTGGCCATATGGGATTGGTAGAATAATAAAAATCATGAAAAATCTGAAAAATTGAGATCAGTGGTTTTTGAAAAAAACATTGAGCATTATATTAGCTAGTTTTGATGATATTATCAAACAAATGCAAATACTGAGAGTTTGACTTGATTGATTGTCTATATGACTGTCTTGAGTTAAACTCATAAGGTTGTGGTTTGTATAAGGTTGAGGTCCTAAACAATCAAATTACGGTGCACCTTCAAATAGTATTGAAATATTTTGTTTCAGTATAATTAATTTTTATATAATTTATTTTCATCTCTAATTATAAAATTTTAAAATTAAAAAATAGTATAGATCGTGCATATATATGAACACTTGAAAATTAACAATCCAGATAATACATTATAGGATACAATATTTCCAAGACTTGAAATCTATTTTTTCTCATGTCAATACATCTTGAGGTTGAGATGATTGAATTTGAGGGTTTTTCACCATTGAAATGACTTCTTCTAGTAAAATTTTGAAGTGCACCTTAATTTGATTGTTTAGGGCCTCACCCTTATATAAACTCTTTCTAACTCATAATTATTCGAGATTTAAAATAAGGATTGTATACAATGAGACCATTTACTTTTGGTACAAAGAGGTCTAGTAAAATTTTGAAGACCTTAATTTAATTTGTTTAGGGCCTCACCCTTATATAAACTCTTTCTAACTCATAATTATCCAAGATTTAAAATAGAGATCGTATACAATGAGACCATTTACTTTTGATACAAAGAGTTTACAATTATTTATAAGTTATAACCATCTGATGTGAAATCTGATAGCTTGGGTGTGTCACAAAATTTCGAAAAAATTACTTTTCTTTGAGCTGGATCAATGAAATAAATACAACCACTCAATTTCACATCCAATAGTTGAGATTAATTGTGACCACTTTATACCAAAGATAAATAATCTCATTATATAGTTTTTCTTTAAAATATCAGTCTAAAATGCAATATGTGTTATGCATATGTGCTCTACACTTTTGACAGATCAACTTATCGAAGTTTTTATACGTTTGTATAAAAGGCAATTTGTTTTACACTCAACCAAAAAGGTTGGCTTATCCACGTTTTAAAAACACTGGTCTAAGATACAATCTCTCTCTTTCTTTCATTTCTCCGACTACAACCACATTCTAAAAAATAATGATTATTAATTTTTAACAAGAAAAAGTTTATATAGGGCCGAAGCTCTAAACAATCAAATTAGAGCCTACCTCAAAATTTCACTAGAAGAGGTTGTTTTTGATGTCCAATATCTTTATTATCTAGACATCAAGATGTATGCACACGAGAAAAAAATGGATTTCAAGGTTTGGAAATATTGTATTTTATAACGCATTTTTGGACTATCAATTTTCAAGATTTTCATAGATCTATCGATCTACACTATTCTTGAAGCTTTAAAACTTTATAAATAAAGATGAAAAATATTTTAAGGCTATCAAAATGATTTTCAGTATTGAAACCACATTTCTCGGTACTATTTGAAGGTAGGCTCTAACTTGATCATTTAGGGTCTAGGCTCTATACAAACCGCACCTTTTTATTAATGGGTAAAAGTTAAAAGTACAATACGATCATGCATGATAAACCATAAACTCCACCATGCTGGCCCCACACTTTACAAGACAATCCGCAACTGAATGCGTATCATGATAAACATACTGGAACAAAACCAACAAATTTTCACATAAATCCTGGGGTTCGGCCCAAATTGACAATAAATCCCATAGACGCCTACCAACCCCTCCTACATTAATTCATAAAATCCCTTTCCACAACACAAGGCGTAGGAGGTCATCTCTCAATGATTTTCAGTCCTTGCAATACCATTCGAAACGTAGTCTCTCAATGATTTTCAATCCTTGAGATACCATTCGGAACTAGCCTCATTAGCCATCACAAAGCCACATGGGCCCTCGAAGGGAAAGAGAAATGAGAAGTAGAGTTCCTAAAAACACCACCAATTTCTACAAGTCTAGGATTTCCAAAACTGCTACCATCGAAGTTTAACTTGATACAATTGTCGAAAGGCGAATGCCATCTTCCCCTAGGACAAAGGTGCCAAGTACGACTATTCATATCGTTATGGAGATTCTTCCACACATCCACCTTTGAGAAACCTCCGTTCTCCTTAGTACTTGAGAACCAACACTATAGATCGTGAAGGATTCACTCCTTAATCTCCATCAAATTGAGAAGAGTCCCGAAAAAAGTTCTGTGGTTCGATTCCTTCCATCCTTCCTAAAGGATAGCCATCTTAAAAGTTTTCCAAATAATCTGCCCATACCTCGGGATATCAACTTGCTGAAAAGTATTGGCAACAAATTGAGGCAATAACAATTGAACCCCTATCAAATTGGAGGCCAATTTCTCGAGTAAAAGGACAATGAAAGAATAAATGATTAACACTCTCCTCATCCTTTCTACAGAGTAAACATATGTTAACCAAAATCTGACCCCTCCTCAAATTATCAATGGTTAGCACCTTATCTTGTAACAGGAACCAAAGAAGTAATTGAACTTTATGTGGGACAAGCAACTTTCAAAGTTGAAACAGCCAGGAGCGCACGTCTCTGAATCTCTTATGATGAAGAAATATGAACACAAACTTTACCGAAAACTCCCCATCTTGTTCACATTCCCATATATCACCACATCCTCACAATTCCTAGATATATATACCGAACTCACCAAGCAAGAAAGCTGGTCGAAGACTACCTCTGGGATTCTATCACACTACACATGCCACTGAACATTGTGTCCTTGAGACATCAAATTGTCCGCAACTACCTAAGATGCCAAAACCTAACTTTGTTCCCCTTGCCCATGACCCACCTCCCATTCCTTGAAACAATGCTTCTCACTCCCTAATACCTTTCCACAATTGAGAACACCTCAAACACCTAACGCCCCGTCCACTCATAAAGGAATCAATATTAAAACCATAATTTGCAGCAATTACTAACACCCCGTCCACTCATAAAGGAATCAATATTAAAACCATAATTTGCAGCAATTACCTGTCACCATAACTGATCCTCACAATGTATAACTATCCACCACCACTTCACCAACAAGTTTAATTTTCCTAGCTTTCAGACTTTGGCTCACGCACTTTGTCCTACCCTACTAGATAGTACCTTTCTTTCATCTCAATATTACCAATAAAAAGATCCTCATTAACTTCTCAAATTCCTTATAAACCGAAGAAAGCATCGCTAACTAATAAAGACATGTGGTAAATGGGCAAATTTGCCATTGAAGATATAAGCAATGTAAGTCGACCACCCGACGAGAGCACTTTTGTTTTTATAAATCCAATTTGGTGTTTACCCTTTTCACCACCAGGTCCCACACTGATCTAGAGACCCATGAATCTGAAATTGACTACTAAGTAATGGGAAATGACTCTACCTTACATCCAACCAAATTAGCTAGCTACTTCAATAAGACATTCTCACAGTTCATCCCTACAATCGATGTCTTTTTAAAGTTTACTTTTAAACCCTAAATAACTTCATAACAAGTAAGAAATTTAGTGAGATAAACCAACTGTTGAGCACTCGCATCACAAAAAATCATTGTGTCGTCACATACTGCAAATGAGATATACGAAAGCGCAACCCCCCCACGAGCAACTTTGAAACCATAAATTTTCCCCAAACATTCTACTTTGGAAATCATGCTAAACGCTTCTGCCAATAGCGTGAAAAAAAAAAGCGACAGGGGGATCACCTTCAGCTAGCAACCTTTACCTTTAGGAGATCCATTTACAATCACATAGGAATGTGCACTGGAAAGGCAACCTCTCATTTACCCTTACGATTTTTTACCAAAACTCATACACCTCATGATTTCCAAGAGAATTTGCCACTCCACTCTTAATACCATCAAAACATGATTAACACTTTGTGCAAAAAAATATCTCAAATAGATCAAGCATAATGTATACAAAATCTAGAATTATTTAAAAAATCTGCGGGTTTTTTTTTGTTTTTAAAATGAGCTGAAAATTTGAAATATGCAAAATATTGTTTAAAATAGTCCACCAAAAGTGCCTGACACCCTCTATACCAAAATTCCAAACAAATCTAGTGTAATATATACAAAATATAGAACTATTTTTTAGACTTTTCAAAAAAAATAAAGATTGAGCTAAATAATTCTAAAATATGCAAAAACAATGTTAGATGTAAATTCGCCAAAAAGAAAAAGAAAAAAAAAAAATACATTTAAACTGAAAAAAAAGCACTCATTAATAAATTTGATAAAAATTATTAAAAAAATGAGAGACAAAAGACAAAACTTCGATATGCGTTCTCCTTTCCCAAATTTTTTTGTTCAATCAGCTGAGTCTCGTCTTGTTTGACGACAAAATTGGGAGAATGGTAAAATCAATGTTAGAAAAAAAGAACTGGGCTCGGAAACCGTCAAGGCCCTTGGTTGGGTCCGACTCATTCGTGAGCCCAACTAAGCAGGTCTCAGGCAAGCCAAAAAATGTTAAAAAAAGACACACAAAATCTTGAAAAATATGAATATAACTAAACAAAACACATCCAAATAAAGTTGAAAAATAGTTAAAAAAAAAAATTAAAAAATCAATTTGTATCCATCAGTATTGTAGGAATAATCCAAAAAATAAAAATAAAAATAAAAATAAGTATTGATAGCCCAAAGACATTCCAATATTTGCCAAAATGATAAAAAAACATTACAAACCAATTCCTTTTTTTTGGGGATTATACATATATTTTTTGAATTTTTTAAAAAGTAACTTACTATACCACCTATTCGGATTTACTAGGCCGGTTCCGATTGGACCGTCCACCTATTCGGATTTACTAGGCCGGTTCCGAGTTGGACCGTCCAATTTGTCAAACACTAATATATAAACCAGATCAATTCCAAACACCAGACAAATTTTGACCCTGCATCTTACTAATTCTGAGACAATATTGATGATTCTGAATTTGGATCAGCAATTTCTAAAACATTTTAACTATAACGTAATCTCTCAACTCGGATCCGCGTTTTATAAAACACTGCCTAGAGTACGGCCTCCAAATGCGGCTTCCCATATGTGGTCCGCCTTACTTTTCCATACTCCTAAATTCAAATTCAAACTCCGCAACGTCTCCCAAGCTTTTCCAACGGCCATAACTGTATCTTCCTCTTTCTACCTTTCTCTCTCTTGTTCCCAAGCCCCATCATCCATTGCTCACTCTCTCTACACCCTGCCTTCTTCTCTCCCTCTCTCTCTCTAGCAGCTCGATCCTTGATATTAGTCCTAATGGCGACTCCTGCTGCTTCAAGAACCCCCAAAACAGTTAGGTTTTCACCTTGTGTAAGGTATTTCCCATCAGGTTCAGATGCTAAGATCAGGGTTATAGTAAGGATCAGGCCTTTTCTAGCCTCTGAGATCAAGGCAAGTGGAGGAAACCCAATCCCCTGTACATTCATTCCTAAGCCAGAAGGGGATCGTGGGCAAGAAGTTACTCTGTGCATTAAAGATCAAGAAACCAGGTAATTGTCACCTTGCTCTCTCTCTTTACCCCAATTTAATGCTACCATTTTTGGGGTTCTCTATAGATAGTATATGCTAACTGTTCTTTGATCTCTCTCTCTCTCACTCTCTTCCCCCAACAAATTTGTGATGCTTCGTTTTTGGGTTTTTCATTGAAGAGGAGAATGACTGTTGAATTTTTTTTCTTGTAGCCGAAGAGAATGTTATAAATTGGATTCCTGCTATGGCCAAGATGAGGATCTGGCTTCAATTTTCTCAAGAGAGGTCAGGCCCATTTTTCCAGGGCTTTTTCAAGGAATTAATGCCACGGTATTTGCCTATGGAGCAACAGGGAGTGGAAAAACTTACACAATGCAGGTGTGCGGAATAAGAAACCCTGACCTCTCCATGTTCTTAAGCTCTTGCAGAACCCTTTTTTTGCTTGCGTTTCTTTTTCCCTTTTTTATTTTTCTTTGTTGAAGAAATAATCAGTAATCATATTCTTTTCCTTATTTCATATGTGGGTCAATGATGATTTCATGTCCGTTTAATTCTTGGTTGTTTAGACTGGAGAAAATGGGCTAGCACATTACTCTGGCTTGCTTATCTACCTTCAAGTTCAAATTTGGGTTTTCCCTTTATTTGGCTTTTCCATGGCTAAATCATTGAAATGGCCTTATTTTAAGCTAGTAAAGTGAAAATGTTCATATATTCAATGGGACTCTGAGAGCAATAATGGAATGACAGTGAAACTTCAAGTTCAAATTTGGGTTTTCCATTTATTTGCCTTCTCTTAGTCATTGGGTTTATTTTTAAAAATAAAAAGTTAAACAAACTAGGGACTGGATCTCGACATACTATTAGACTGGGGTCGTGCCTTTTAGATAAAATTTTGTTTGCTGTATATTTATCTTTCGCTTGCAATACATGGCGCCATCTCTGATTTGAGAAGGCGATCTTTACCTTGTAGGCCCGCGACAAGGGGCACATAGAGTGCGGCACTGGTGCAGGGTAAATAGGTTGTAACCTCCGCTCTGTCACGGATAGAGTGGGGACTTCCGTCGTTAGTGGTCCATGAAGCTTTAGGCATTGTCTATGTCAAGAAAAGCTTCCCTTTGTATCTTAAGAGTTTAAAAGAAGGAAAAAATTACACATTATTGGATTTGATTCCAATAGTTCTAGTGGAACACTATTGCAGGGTGCTAACAATCAGCCAGGCCTTATGTTCTTGGCCATGTCTGAAATTCTTTCCATATGTGAAAGAACAGGAAGCTCTGTGAAGCTGTCATACTATGAAGTATACTTGGAACGATGCTACGATCTCTTAGAACCAAAAATGAAGGAGATTATGGTTTTGGAGGATCACAATGGGCAAGTGCAGCTCAAGGATCTCTCTCAGGTAATCTTAAAATCGTATTTCCTTAAATCTAAAGAGCGTCTCATAGGTTTTAGTTTACATATATATAGGGAAAAGATGAGATTAACCCACTAGCTCATATGAACATATGAGCCCAACTTCTCAAACTGATTCTGGGCCGATCTGACGATAACGGATGTTCGGTAGTATTTGAATTTTAGTTTTTTTTCTACAAATCCAATTCACTTGAAATTTTAGGGGTGTGTTTTTTCTTATCTAAGGCGCACCTAATAAAAATATAAAAAAAATTATTTGCAATAAAAAAGACCAAAATATCCCCTGAAGCTTTTCGGGGGTATTTTGATCAATTTAGTTCATGCAAAATATTTTTTTGATATTTTTCAAAGATTCACCTATTTTTTATTAACACACGCCTAAAATTTCAAGTGATTCGAATTCGTAAAAAAATAAAATAAATTCTAACACTACCAGATAACCGCGATCGTCAGATCGGCCCAAAATTAATCTGGGACGTTGGGCTCATATGTTCATATGAGCTAATGGGCTAATCCCATCTTTTCTCTCTCTATCTCTCTACATATATATATATATATATATATATATATATGTAGGAAATGCTGAGATTAGCCTACTAGCTCATATGAATATATGTGTTCATATGAGCCCAACAGCCCAGATTGAATCTGGGCTGATCTGACGGTACGACCTCATTTTGTATTTTAATTTTAATTTTTTTTTACAAATCCAAATAATTTGAAATTTTAGAAGTGTGTTCTTCAAGTATAGGAGAATCTAATAAAAATATCAAAAAAATCATTTTATCGAAATAAATTGATTAAAATACCCTTGAAATGTTTTGGGGGTATTTTGGTCTAT